CAGCCAATAACATCATTCTCCCCAAAAGTCTGGCCAAATTCCTCAAACTGTCCGTTTTCTGCCTTGAGTCCTCGTCCATCGAAACCATAAGAGAATTCATCTTCACCTGGAACAGTCATCAAATTAGTTCCCTACATCCCAACTTACCACAGATTAAGCAATATGGTAGTAAACACTAATGAGGAAGTCAAAAAATAACTTTACCAAGCTGTGGACGAGAAAAATCAACAGACCACCCAACTCGAAGGAGAGACACCTCTGTGCAGCCTTCTTTCATTGGGAGATTCTGGGTTACCTGGCCAAGTCAAGAAGGGAATTATTAGATACTGTGACCAACTGAGTAGCAAACTCTGAGTTAGAAAGACAAGATTTTTATACAAACTGAAAACAACAATCATCACAACTTAACATCAGAGTAACCGTCACTGAACTTAGGGATTCATTTCTTGGTTACTGAAACTAAGGTTACTGTTTAAAGCACGGTGCTTTTCCCTACCTGCAATAATAAAAGCCTGATGGACAAAAGTCCAGTATTTTTTTCTCAGCCGGGCACTGTGGCTCATACTGTAATCCCAGCACTTTAGGAGGCCGAGGCAGGCAGATCACCTGAGGTGAGGTAAGGTCAGGAGTTCGAGACCAGCCTGACCACCATGGAAAAACCTTGTCTCTACTAAGAATACAAAATTAGTCAGGCATGGTAGCACATGCCTGTAATCCCAGCTACTAGGGAGGCTGAGGTAGGAGAATCACTTGAACCTGGGAGGCACAGATTGCAGTGAGCCAAAATTGCACCACTGCACTCCAGCCTGGGCAACAAGAGTGTAACTCTGTCTCAAAAAAAAAAAAAATTTTTTTCTCTAAAAACCATAAATACCTAGGAATAAATGAACGGTCTTAATGAGCTACCTTTGCCTCAAAGCAGACTTTTCCCTTTGTCACTCCGTAAGTACTCCTTGCCCCAGACCAAAGGGTGGGAAACTTCTCTGAGAAAAGTGGCTGCCCTCCATAGCGGTCTTTGCTTACTTGAAAATGCAGATCCGAGGTATCTGGAAAGAAAAGAAAGAAGCAATCAGTTTACTCCAATGCCCAATACTTTTAAGCCACCAACAGAGCACAAGTATAGCCAGTTGTTGAAGTGGATACAAAGGCTCATAGAATTTATGGGCTATGAAGTTTTAATCTCCAAAATCACTTTTAGGAGATTAGTTAAAACACAATCTGTCTGCCTTATACATACACGTGTCCAGGTTCACAAGAGTTTGATCCTCCTCCTCATCTTTTGCCTCTTCTTCAGGAGGCGGTGGAGACTTTGAGCTATACATATGAAATAGAAGAAACACAATGTAAACAAAGCCCTCTTCTTTGAGAGGTATGTGTTTGACATTACGTCCATTTTAAAACTATCAGTGAATATCAAATCCCAGCAGACAGCTTTTTTCAACAAATGAGAAAGGGTAATAGGAGCTTCCATGGTATATGCAATCTAAAACTCATGCCTATAAAAACCTATTCCATTTTGAATCCACCCTCCTTCCAGTCTCTCCAGTCAATACCAGGTATACCAAAATCAGAGCAGACACTCCCTTCCAGGAAAGGGACTGTTTCCCTCACCGGCTGTGGTAAGCCTCCTCTCGGAATTCATAGTAAGCTCGGCCATGTTCATCCTTCTCATCCCGCTGTCTCTTTACCCCCCGCCGCTCACCATCTGAGCCTGCTGGTTTTGACTTTTCACTATCTTGGTCATCTCCTACAAAAAGGAGGGAAAGAAAATCAGCAGTTTTCATACTAGAGTGTAGAATTAAGCTCAGAACTAATAAGACACTAGTGGGGAATCTGAGAATCTGTATAATCAAAATAGCCAGCTTATTCCCACTACATTCACAGATCATTTAATTTCTAAAGATTATCTTTCTGTCACTGGCTGTGATTTTATTTTTTAAAAAAGGGACATTATGGGCTAATTACAGTCAAGCAGTAGATAAAAATTGGAAAATTTTTGCATTCTAAATTTATCTGCTTAAATCAGGTCAAACTTGCAGATTTCCCCATCAATATGACATTAAAAAAAATCCTCTAGGTCTCTAAAAAAAACTTCAAAGGTTATTTTAATTTTGAATCTTCTCAGATCTAGATTTAAGGTAGGCACTTAATACGTATTTCTAACACTTTTCTACAACTTTGCGATACAGAGAAGCCTGATTTTTTTTTTTTAATTTCCCTTTCCTGCACCAAATGCACAGCCACCCATGGCTTTATTCCCTGGCAAATGGACTCGAGTGCATGACACACAGCTGTATTTTTATCAGGAACGTCTACTGAAAGTTGCAAGAGCAAACCATTAAGTCACAAGAGAGACATGAATAATACTGCATCTACACTGCACATATAGGTGTTGTTGTATATTTAGCAACAATCTATATATCTAATCGAGAAAAAACCTGGAGTTTTCCCCTAGGATTTTGTATTTTGCAACACTAAGAAAGTTGTTAATAATAGTTTCTTTAAAGCAGTCCTTTATCCTTCAATTTTTATTTATTTTTATTTTTTTGAGACGGAGTCTCCTTCTGTTGTGCCCAGGCTGGAGTGCAGTAGTGAGATCTCCGCTCATTGCAACCTCTGCCTCCCAGGTTAAAGCCATTCTCCCACCTCGGTTTCCCAAGTAACTGGGATTATAGGTGTCCACCATCACACCCAGCTAATTTTTTGTATTTTTAGTAGAAACGGGGTTTCACCATGTTGGCCAGGCTGGTTTCGAACCCCTGACCTAAGGTGATCCACCCACCTCCACCTCTCAAAGTGCAGGGATTACAGGCGTTAGCCACCGCACCCAGCCTATCCTTCAATGTTTTTTTTTTTTATCTGCTCTTTGGGATACACACAAGTCAAAGGTTATGTAATGGGATTTTTGTTCCAGGACACAGGACAAACAGTCTGCAAGTTGCATGTGATTGCCGTACAATGGGTTCCGATTATACCACGATTCTTGGTAGTGGCCTAAAAAAAGGACTAACAAAAGAACTACGGCAACGCACTTTATAGTAAGAATTATCCTTCCTACTCAGACACACAGTGTCATGGATCAGTTCTAACCAATCACTTCAAAAGAAAGGAGAAAGGTCATTAACTCCCTGGGGTGATTCAACAACACACCTCTTCCACAAGGTTACTCAACGGACACACAAGCACCTCAATCATTACCATTCAGGAAGCCAGAGACCTGAAATGTAAAAGGCTAGTAGTACGAAGTGTTCAGCAAATCCACAAACATGCCCATCCATGGACTCAGTGGGACAATTAAAATTTAATCATAATCCAAACAAGTTAAAAACCCTAGTCAAGTAATGTTAACTAACTCTAAATGCACTAAATTAAAATTTTCTCTTCACTGGTTAACTATTAAACTCGACACTGTTACACTAGAGGCTGTCCCCTACAGCTCAAAGAGGAGTAAGGTTAGATTTCCAGATTCTCTGTGGCTCAAGCTCTGGTAACAACACGCTTTTGACGGAGCGGACTCTGACGAACTTCGATTTCTGTTTAACATTTCTTTACAGTGAAAAAGTCAACAGTCAGAGTAGCCCAAAGGCCCGAACCTCTAACTGTGGGCCTAGCACTCCGTGTAATCCCCAACTGCTTAGCACGTTCTCAGCTAAGAAAAATGTAACAAGCACCGTGGGAGACTGTTCCACAGGTAGCTCGCAAACAGCTCACACGCAAAATCACTATCCACTATCACCAAGGAACCAAGTTAGGCAGGAAGCTTCCTCCTGCAAAAAGTGAAGCCACAAGAGGCGGCCTAACCCCTCAGACAGGTGGATAGAGAATGAAAGGAAGCGATGGGAATCTTGCACTTTCAGGCAAGCGAGAACAAGGACTCGGACCCCGTGGTGCAGGGCGGGGTGCTAGATCACAGGCGCAGCCGGCAGGTTGGAGCCGGGATCGGCTGCCAGCTCCTCACCCTGTTCCTCGGCGGCCTTGTCACCCGGCACCTCGGATCCCGGCGTCTCGTCCCCGCTCCGCTCCTCGGGTTCGTCTTCATCCCCCTTGCCGAGGCCCTGCTCTTCGCCACCATTTACCCCACCTGACCCGGCTGTGGCCTCCGCCGGCTTCTCGGAAGCATCGGGCTCCGCCGCGGCCTCCATGGCTGCCGCCTCCGGGGGCTCCGGTGGCGGCTGCGCGGCCTGACCCGAGGCCTGAGCAGGGGGTGGCTCCTCGTCCTCGTCCTCAAGCAGCGCCTCCTCGTCCTCCTCCTCCTCCTCCTCCTCTTCGTCCTCCTCTTCGTCCCCGCCCGGGCCGCCGCCCGACGCGGCCACAGGCCGAGGCTCCGCCTTGCAGGCCCCGCCGGGCCCGGCCCCGCCGCCGCCGGCCTCGTCCTCGAGCATCTCGGCGTCCAGCGCCTCTTGCAGCCGCTGCGCTAAATCCACTTTGAGGCCGCGCGAGTCCAGGCCCCGCCGCTGCAGCTCCGACCGCAGCTCGGTCACTTTCAGCCGCTTCACCTCCATCGCCGCCGCCGCCTCCTCCGCCTCCCGCCGCCTCCTCCCCTGCGAACCGTCGACCGATCCCGACCGCGCAAGCGCCGCCGCCGCCGCCGCCCGCCTCCGCCTCACGCGCCAGCACTGAGCCCGCGCAAGCGAGCGCACGCACGCAGGAGTGGAGGCCGTGCACGGTGTCGCTGCGCAGTGTTAGCGTCTCCTTCCTCTCCCCTCCCCCTTTCGGCTCACGGAGCCCAAAACAACGCAGCGGGGAGCCGCTTCCCTTCCAGGCCCTCGGTTCCCCAGCCGCGGGCAGGAGCTCGCGGAGGACGACGGAGTTCCTCCCGCCCCCTGGCGCTCCCGGGCCAATCGCCGCCGAAGCTTTTACCGCGCAGCCGCAGTGGGGTCCAAGACGAGCAAGGCTGGCGGCCGCTCAAGTGCCTCGTAGCACGGAAGCGTGTGCGCGCCGGTCTTTCCGTACTTCTAGCTGGCGGGTTCTGCGCAGCCGCCCGGAGCTCCCCGACGCCATGCCCCTCCCACCATCCTTACTTCCGTCTGACTTCCAATCGCTGCCGCGTTTTGGGGGTCGCTAGCCCCTTTTCCCTACTATTTGTGCTTGCAGCATTAACAACAAAAAAGGTCAGAAGAGAATGTGTTGCAACATGTTAGCCTACTACCAATTATTTTTCTGGCTTGGAAGCAAAAGGGCTCTCCAGAACCAAGAAACAGTAATCCCGGGTCCTCCTTTTTCCGACTGCCTCAAACTTCTACCCAGCAACAGACGCCCTGACCTCGCCCTTTTTCTCTTATTGGACAACTTGAATCGTCATTTGCCGTTCCGATTGGTCATCCGTGATCGTCCGGATTTTTCCAATTGGCGAAGCCGCAAGGGATTTTTTTTTTTTTTCCCCCGGGTTGGTCCGCTGGGGAGGCGGGGTCGTTTCTGCGGGATTATTTTTCCGGAGCTGCTTCTGATTGGGCGGCGTGGCGCAATGGGCGCGATCCTTTAAGATACCAAGCCATCTGCAGATCTGACCCTTACCTTACTCCCGCCAGTAAATCGAAGCCCAGGAAACTTCCGGGCTTGGGCATCTGCAAAGGGCGAGAAACTGGTCGCAGAGCCGGGTGGGCTTGCAGCTGTGACGTTTATGGCGGACACTTCAGACTAGCTTGTACGTTGAGGTGCATGCACCTCATTTCACCTAGGCTTTCCAGTTTATAGCACTGACGTCAAAAATGTTGAATTAGGAAGAATAAAGAACTGGAATTGCTGCAAGTCCTCTGGACTTTTTTTAGCAGTAGTCCCACCCACTCACTTCTACTTCCAGGTCAGGGGGCGTGTCCAGAAGAAAGGTGGAATCCAATTTGTCTGGCGTTGTCACGCCCGCCACAATTCCTGAGTAGGGCCTTGCCTGGCTTTTTTGGGAAGTCTCTTTACCCCGGCATCGCGTCTTTAGGAAGTCACTTATATTTGGCTTCATTATTCCCACATCGCCTTTCTGCGTACTTTCCTGCACTTCTAACGAAAAAGACTGCAGAAAGGAGAGGTGGGGCTGTGAGTCGAAATTAGCAAACCGCAGGTCCCTGTGGCGCGCATCCTCCAGGAGAAGGGTAATTTCCTGCCTTTTTAAATTGGCTATTAGAATCCGTTATTTTGCTCCCAACCCCAGAGCTTCAGTTTCTCCTTCACTTCCCAATTCCACAAGAACCCTGGGCGATAGTTATGGAGAAGCGTCTGCAGGAGGCTCAGCTGTACAAGGAGGAAGGGAACCAACGCTACCGGGAAGGGAAGTACCGAGATGCTGTGAGTAGGTATCATCGTGCTCTGCTTCAGCTGCGGGGTCTGGATCCAACTCTGCCCTCTCCGATACCTAATCTCGGCCCTCAGGGCCCCGCCCTCACACCTGAACAAGAAAACGTACTGCATACCACCCAGACAGACTGCTACAACAATCTAGCTGGTAAGAACAGGGCTAAAGGGTGGCTGGAAAGCAGTAAAATAGGAACATCAACATCTGTGAACATTGGGGAAAAAAACACTTTTTTTTTTCTTTACCGTCATCCATGTATTCTGCCATGAATTGGAATATCCTGCCAATCTGTGGGGCTCTAAGTTGCAGTAGAGCAGGGCTTATCAGACTTCACCTGGAGAGTTTGTTAAAACGCAGCCTCCTAGGCCCCATCCCGAGATTCGGATGGGTCTGACATGGGCGCTGCCAGTTTGCCTTTCTTTCTTTCTTTGTTTCTGTCTGTCTTTCTTTCTTTCTTTCGTGCTTTTTCTTTCTGTCTTTCTTTCTTTTTCTTTCTTTCTTTCTCTTTCTTTCTTTCTTTTTCTTTCTTTCTTTTTCTTTCTTTCTTCTTTCTTTTTCTTTCTTTCTTTCTTCTCTTTCTTTCTTTTCTTTTCTTTTTTTCTTTCTTTTCTTTTTTTCTTTCTTTCTTAGACGGAGTTTCACTCTTGTTACCCAGGCTGGAGTGCAGTGGCGCGATCTCGGCTCACCGCAACCTCCGCCTCCTGGGAACAGGCAATTCTGCCTCAGCCTCCTGAGTAGCTGGAATTACAGGCACGCGCCACCATGCCCAGCTAATTTTTTGTATTTTTAGTAGAGACGGGGTTTGACCATGTTGACCAGGATGGTCTCGATCTTTTGACCTCGTGATCCACCCAGCTCGGCCTCCCAAAGTGCTGGGATTACAGTCGTGAGACACCGCGCCCGGCAATTTTTTGTGTTTTTAGTAGAGATGGGGTTTCACCGTGTGAGCCAGGATGATCTCTATTTCCTGACCTCGTGATCCGCATGCGAGCCTCCCAAAGTGCTGAGATTACAGGCATGAGCCACCGCACCCGACTAATATATATATACATATGTATTTTTTCTTTTTCTTTTCTTTTCTTTTTTTTTTTTGAGACAGAGTTTTGCTCTTCTTGCCCAGGCTGGAGTGCAATGGCGAGATCTCGGCTCACTGCAACCTCTGCCTCCCGCGTTCAAGAGATTCTTCTGCCTCAGCCTCTCGAGTAGCTGGGATTGCAGGCATGTGCCACCATGCCCGGCTGATTTTTGTATTTTTAGTAGAAACGGGGTTTCTTCATGTTGGTCAGGCTGGTCTCGAACTCCTGACCTCAGATGATCCACCTGCCTAGGCCTCCCAAAGTTGTGGGATTACCGGCGTGAGCCACTGCTCCTGGCACACCTGGCTAATTTTTGTATTTTTAGTAGAGTCGCGGTTTCACCATGTTGGTTAGGCTGGTCTCAAACTCCTGACCTCAGGTGATCAATGTGCCTCAGCCTCCTAAAGTGCTGGGATTACATGTGTGAGCTACCACGCCCAGCCCCAGTTTACATTTCTAACAGCCTTCTGGGTATTGCTGATAGCTTTAGGGGATTTTGCACGCTATAGAGAAAAACTATACCTAAGGTCAGTCCATTGTTTAAGGAACATTTAATATTTGGGAAACATGGTGATTGCTTTAGCTGGTGGTTTATATCCTTTATTATATTCAGTAGGTTGTATAGCTTTTCCTCATTTTTCTCTTTCCTATAATTTAGGTAATGTGGATAACTATCTTTCATCTCTTTGTGGTCTTGGGTGAAAAGATACATGCCACAGTTAGATCACTAAGATTAACCTGCTAGTAGGCCTGGCGTGGTGGCTCATGCCTGTAATCCCAGGACTTTGGAAGACTGAGGTGGGTGGATCTCTTGGGTCCCGGAGTTTGAGATCAGCCTGGGCAACATGGCAAAACCCAGTCTTTATAAAAATATTAAAAATTAGCTAGTCATGGTGGCATGCACCTGTGGTCCAGGCTACTGGGAGGCTGAGGTGGGAGGATTTCCTGAGCCCAGGAGGTGGAGCCTGCAGTGAACTTTGAGCCACTGCACTCCAGCTTGGGCAACAGAGCCAGACCCTGTCTTAAAAAGTAAATAAATAAAATCAACCTGCTAAGTGAAGGAGATGTCTTAGGTCTGTTTTATGGCAGACAAAATAAGCATAGAACTAATAAACTTATATTGCAGTATATTAGAACATTCTAAAAATCCAGGCTGAGGCCATAGAAATTATTAGGAGTAGTTTTTGCCCTTCCTTATAGCCTAAAAGTGATTTTTAAAATTACATCTAGCTGGGCGTGGTGGCTCAAGCCTGTAATCCTAGCACTTTGGGAGGCCGAGGCAGGTGTATCACGAGGTCAAGAGATCGAGACCATCCTGGTCAACATGGTGAAACCCCGTCTCTACTAAAAATACAAAAAATTAGCTGGGCCTGGTGGCGCGTGCCTGTAATCCCAGCTACTCAGGAGGCTGAGGCAGGAGAATTGCCTGAACCCAGGAGGCAGAGGTTGCGGTGAGCCGAGATCATGCCATTGCACTCCCTCCTGGGTAACAAGAGCCAAACTCCGTCTCAAAAAAAAATTAAAATTAAAAAAAATTTTAAAAAAGTAAAATTACACCTCAAGTCTACCTGGAGAGTCAAGATTTACAAGTATTCATCTCTAAAACAATTTATCTCCTTGATTTTTTGGCCAATTCCCTAACACATTCTTTTTGGGAGGGGGTGGAGAGAGGATCTTGCTCTGTCACCCAGGCTGGAGTGCAGTGGCATGATCTCAGCTCACCGAAACCTCAGCCTTCCGGGTTCAATCGATTTTCCTGCCTCAGCCTCCCAAGTAGCTGGGATTACAGGTGCTCACCACCAAGCCTGGCTAATTTCTTTGTATTTTTAGTAGAGATGCATTTTCACAGTGATAGTCAGGCTAGTTTTGAACTCCTTACCTCAAGTGATCCACCTCCCAAAGTGCTGGGATTACAGGCATGAGCCACTGTGCCCGGCCGGTCTCAAGCTTTTTAATCATCAAGATGGGCTGGTCATGGTGGATCACCTGAGATTGGGAGTTCAAGACCAGCCTGACCAACATAGAGTAACTCTCTCTCTACTAAAAATACAAAATTAGCTGGGTATGGTGGCACATGCCTGTAACTGCTCAGGAGGCTGAGACAGGAGAATCGCTTGAACCCAGGAGGCAGATGTTGCAATGAGCCGAAATCGCACCTTGCACTCCAGCCTGGGCAACAAGAGTGAAACTGTTTCCAAAGAAAAAAAAATTAGGATGACAGCCTTGTTTATCTTATCCTCTGCTCCTAGCTCAGTGCCTGGCACATGGTCAATGCACATGAACTGGTTGTTGAATTAATAAGCAAGGGTAATAGGTTGGTTGACCTCTGGAGAAAGATCTCCGTATAAACCATATGACCACTTGGTGGGGATGTTGTAGAAGGGATACAAACATAAGCACAGGCCCTTTAATGTCCTTATCAGTGCTGATTCTTGCTCTTCCTCAGCCCATGATTCAATAATATGTTTAATTCCCACAGTTGTGAAATAGGGAATGTGTTTCCCTTCTTTTTTTTTTTTTTGAGATGGAGTTTCACTCTTGTTACCCAGGCTGGAGTGCAATGGCACGATCTCGGCTCACCACAACCTCCGCCTCCTGGGTTCAGGCAATTCTCCAGCCTCAGCCTCCTGAGAGGCTGGGATTACAGGCACATACCACCATGCCCAGCTAATTTTTTTGTATTTTTAGTAGAGACGGGGTTTCACCATGTTGACCAGAATGGTCTCGATCTTTTGACCTCGTGATCTACCCGCCTCGGCCTCCCAAAGTGCTGGGATTACAGGCTTGAGCCACTGCGCCCAGCCATGTTTCCCTTCTTGATCATAAAAAGGCAAAACATTAACCTGAATTGCCTCCTCCATAGTTTTTTTTTGAGGATGATGAAGAGAGAAGTAGAATTGGAGGACAGGAGAGAAAGAATGTTGAAAACGGAAGTTAAGTGAAAATATCCTTTTTTTTTTTTTGAAAGAGAAAGTGGGACAGAGAACAGGAGTTTTGTTCTATTGCCCAGGCTGGAATGCAATCTCAAAATAGGTATTAAAAACCTCTTTTATGGCCAGGCGCAGTGGCTCATGCCTGTAATCCTAGCACTTTGGGAGGCCGAGGTGGGTGGATGATGAAGTCAAGAGATCGAGACCATCCTGGTCAACATAGTGAAACCCCGTCTCTACTAAAAATACAAAAAATTAGCTGGGCATGGTGGCGCGTGCCTGTAATCCCAGCTACTCAGGAGGCTGAGGCAGGAGAATTGCCTGATCCCAGGAGGCGGAGGTTGCGGTGAGCCGAGATCGCACCATTGCACTCCAGCCTGGGTAACAAGAGCAAAACTCCGTCTCAAAATAAATAAATAAATAAATAAATAAATAAATAAATAAATAAAAACCTCTTTTATGCCGATAATTGTGTTTGACAGTGGAGACAGGAAGGAATAAGGGAAGAAAATAAACAAACAAACAACCAGTATTTAAGTCTGCAAAATGCTATGCAAATGCTGAAGAGTGATTTACTTCTAATTATGTGGTCACTTTCAAAATAGGTGTAATGTGATACTGAGAAAAATGTATGTTCTGTAGACCTGGGGTGAAGAATTCTATAAATATTTGCTGAGTTTACTTGTTCCAAGGTTCATATTTTAAGGTCCCATTAAGTCATCCAAGAAAATAGTGAAGTCAGGTGGGGCGCGGTGGCTCACGCCTATAATCCCAGCACTTTGGGAGGCCGAGGGGGGTGGATCACAAGGTCAGAGTTGAAGACCAGCCTGGCCAAGATGGTAAAACCTGTTTCTATTAAAAATACAAAAATTAGCTAGGTATGGTGGTGGGTGCCTGTAATCCTAGCTACTGGGGAGGCTGAGGCAGAGAATTGCTTGAATCTGGGAGGCGGAGATTGCAGTGAGCTGTGGTTGCACCACTGCACTCCAGCCTGGGCAACAGAGCAATACTCCAACTCACACACACACAAAAAAAAAATTAGCCAGGCGTGGTAGTAGGTGCCTGTAACCCCAGATACTTGGGAGGCTGAGGCAGGAGAACTCCTTGAATCTGGAGGCAGAGGTTGCAGTGAGCTGAGATAATGCCATTGCACTCCAGCCTGGGCAACAGGAGGGAAACTCTGTTTCAATAATCATAATCATAATAGGGTCTTGGCTGGGCATGGTGGCTCATGCCTATAATCCTTGGGAGACCAAGGTAGGCAGATCACTTGAGGTCAAGAGTTCAAGACCAGCCTGGCCAACATGGTGAAAACCCATCTCTATTAAAAACACAGAAATTAGCTGCACATGGTGACACATTTTTGTAATCCAAACTACTTGGAGGTTGAGGCAGAAGAATCGGTTGAACCTGGGATGGGGAAATTTCAGTGAGCCAAGATCATGATACTACACTCCAGCCTCGGTGATGAGTGAGACTCTGTCTTTAAAAAAAAAAAAAAAAGGCCAGGTGCAGGGGTTCATGCCTATAATCCCAGCACTTTGGGAGGCCAGGCAGGTGGATCATGAGTTCAGGAGTTCAAGACCAACCTGGCCAAGATGGTAAAACCATGTCTATACTAAAAATACAAAAATATTAGCTGGGCGTGGTGGCAGGCACCTGTCATCCCATCTACTCAGGAGGCTGAGGCAGAGAATTGCTTGAACCCAGGAGGCAGAGGTTGCAGTAAGTGAGCTGAGATCATGCCATTGCACTCCAGCCTGGGCAACAGTACAAGACTGCATTTCCAAAAAAAAAGGGAATTCCTATGTTATCCAGAATATACTTGTTATAACACTGCAGTGAATACCCTACAAAAAAAAAAGGGCCATGGGGGTCTCACTGTGTTGCATAGGCTGGTCTTGAACTACTGGTCTCAAGCGATCCTCCCACTTCAGCCTTTCAAAGTGCTAGGATTACAGGCATGAGCCACCATGCTCAGCCCAAAGATGAGTTTTAAGTAAAATTTTTTTTTTTTTTTTTTTTGAGATGGAATTTCGCTGTTGTTACCCAGACTGGAGTGCAATGGCACGATCTCGGCTCACCGCAACCTCCGCCTTCTGGGTTCAAGCAATTCTACTGCCTCACCCTCCTGAGTAGCTGGGACTACAGGCACGCACCACCATGCCCAGCTAAGTTTTGTATTTTTAGTAGAGACGGGGTTTCACCTCGTTGACCAGGATGGTCTCGATCTCTTGACCTCGTGATCCACCCGCCTCGGCCTCCCAAAGTGCTGGGATTATAGGCGTGAGCCGCCGCGCCCGGCCTTAAGTAAATTTTAAAGTATGTTCTTACCAGCTTTATAGCTTGGCCTACCTTAGTACTAAATATGTAGCAGAAAATCAATAAATATTGAAGAACATTACAAGATATGTGAAGCTTTTATTCACTGCTATATCCCCAGTGTGTAGAAGAGTATCTGGCATATGGGAGACACTTTTAGCTTTTGTTGACTGACTGTTGTTGATACCGGTACTGCCTTGAGCTGGCCAATGGAACCTGGTATAACAAGCCCCTCTTCCCACTTCTCTCCTTTCATATGGCCCATTAGCCTGTCTCCTTCAGATGGAGCCAGTGAACTATGAACGAGTGAGAGAATATAGTCAGAAAGTCCTGGAACGACAGCCTGATAATGCCAAGGCCTTGTATCGGGCGGGAGTGGCCTTTTTCCATCTACAGGACTATGACCAGGCCCGGCACTACCTCCTGGCTGCCATCAATAGGCAGCCTAAAGGTGAGTCAAAGGGGCTTTGAAATGCTGAAGACAAAATTGTCTTGCTGGGGTGGATCTGTGGAAAGGGGATTTTATTTTACTTTGCCAATGTATTATTTTCAATAAGTAATACATTCACATGATTGGGAATTCAGATTCTGTGAAAAAGTATATGATGACCAGACCTTTTTTTTTTTTTTGACATGGAGTTTTGCTCTTGTTGCCCAGGCTGGAGTGCAGTGGCACAATCTCAGCTCACTGCAACCTCCGCCTCCCGGGTTCAAGCGATTCTCCTGCCTCAGCCTCCCGAGTAGCTAAGATTACAGCAAGTGCTACCATGTCCAGCTAATTTTGTATTTTAGAGACAGGGTTTCACCATGTTGGTCAGGCTGATCTCAAACTCCCAACCTCAGGTGATCTGCCCACCTAGGCCTCCCAAAGTGCTGGGATTACAGGTGTGAACCACCACGACCAGCCAGTATTATTAGTTTCATGTGTCAGGTATTGATGCTTAAACAGGCATATACAATATATATGTCAGTATGTCTGTTTCGTACATATATGTATGCCTGGCTGGGTGTGGTGGCTCCCACCTATAATCCCAGCACTTGGGACGCTGAGGCAGGCGATCACCTGAGGGTAGGAGTTTGAGACAAACCCGACCAACATGGAGAAACCCCATCTCTACTACAAATACAAAATTAGCTGGGCGTGGTGGCCCATGCCTGTGATCCCAGCTATGAGGGAGGCTGAGGCAGGAGAATCGCTTGAACTTGGGAGGAAGAGGTTGCAGTAAGCCAAGATTGTGCTGTTGCACTCCAGCCTGGGCAACAAGAGTGAAACACCATCTCAAAAAAAAAGAAGTATATAGATATCTGTCTACCTATTTTAATATATAAACATATACATATAAATGTACTTTTATTTATAAATATACATAAATATATATAAAATAGGCATCATATACATGAGATATATATGTGAAACAGACTTATATGATGTATGCCTGTTTTATTCAATACCATTATATATAATGCCCCCACCCCCAGGCCAAACACAAAGATTTAAAAAGTGTTGTTTTGGCCAGGCACAGTGGCTCATGCCTGTAATCTCAGCACTTTGGGAGGCTGAGGTGGGCAGATCACCTGAGGTCAGGAGTTCGAGACCAGCCTGACCAACATGGAAAAACCCCATGTCTATTAAAAATACAAAAATTAGCTGGGTAGGCTGGGTGCAGTGGCTCATGACTGTAATCATAGCACTTTGGGAGGCCAAGGTGGGCGGACCACCTGAGGTTAGGAGTTTGAGACCAGCCTGGCCAATGTGGTGAAACCCCATCTATTAAAAAATAAAAAAATTAGCTGGATATGGTGGCACATGCCAATAATCCCAGCCACTCAGAAGGCTGAGACAGGGGAATCGCTTGAACATGGGAGGCAGAGGTTGCAGTAAGCCGAGATGGTGCCATTGCACTCCAGCCTGGGCAACAAGAGCAAAACTCCGTCTCGTGAAAAAAAAAAGTGTTGTTTTTCGGGACCTGGCACAGTGGCTCACGCCTGTAATCCGAGTACTTTGGGAGGTTGAGGATCACCTGAGGTCAGGAGCTGAAGACCAGCATGGCCAACATGGCAGAACCCCATCTCTAAAAAAAAAAAAGTACACACACACACACACACACACACACACACACACTAGCCAGGAATGGTGGTGGGCACCTGTAATTCCAGCTACTCAGGAGTTGAGGCAGGGAGAATCACTTAAAACTGAGAGGCAGTGGAAGACAGTATGGCAATTCCTCAAGGACCTAGAAATAGAAATTTATTTGACCCAGCAATCCCATTACTGGGTATATATCCAAAGGATTATAAATCGTTCTACCATAAGGACACATGCAGACGAATGTTCACTGCAGCACTGTTTACAATAGCAAAGACTTGGAACCAACCCAAATACCCACTGACGATAAATTAGACAGGGAAAATGTGGCACATATACACCGTGGAATACTGTGCAGCCATAAAAAAATGATTAGTTTGTGTCCTTTGTTAGGACATGGATGAACCTGGAAACCATCATTCTCAGCAAACTGACACAAGAACAGAAAATCAAATACCACATGTTCTCACTCATAGGCAGGTGTTGAACAATGTGAACACATGGACACAGGGAGGGGAGTATCCCACTCTGGGGTCCGCCCAGGAGAAATAGGTGAGGGACACCAGGGGGTGGAGAGTTGGGGAGAGATAGCATGGGAGAAATGCCAGATAGAGGTGATGGGGAGGAAGGCAGCAAATCACACTGCCATGTATGTACCTATGTAACAATCTTGCATGTTCTTCACATGTACCCCAATACCCAAAATGCAATTAAAAAAATTTTTTAAAAGAGGGAGGCAGAGGTTGCAGTGAGCCAAGATTGCACCACTAAATTCCAGCCTGGGCAGCAGAGCAAGACTCTGTCTCCAAGAAACAACAACAAAAAAGTGTTGTTTTCAAGTTCAGTTCCTGTTCTTTAAGAGTGGGGCTGAGCGAGGTGGCTCACACCTGTAATCTTAGCACTTTGGGAGGCCGAGGAGGGCACATCACTTGAGGTTAGGAGTTCAAGACCAGCCTAGCCAACATAGTGAAACCCCTGTCTCTACTAAAAATACAAAAATTAACCGGGTGTGGTGGCAGGTTTACCTGTAATACAGGAGGCTGAGGCAGGAGAATCACTTGAACCTGGGAGGCGGAGGTTGCAGCGAGCCGAGATTGTGCCACTACACTCCACCTTGGGGAACAGAGTGAGACTCCATCTCAAAAAAAAAAAAGCCAGGCACGGTGGCTCACGTCTGTAATCCTAGCACTTTGGGAGGCTGAGGCAAGCAGATTACCTAAGCTCAGGAGGTCAAGACCAGTCTGGGCAATATGGTGAAACCCCATCTCTACTAGAAATACAAATTAGCCAGGCGCAGTGGCTTGCACCTGTAATCCCCAGTATTCAGGAGACTGAGGCAGGAGGATTGCTTGAATCCATTAGGCAGAGGTTGTAGTGTGCCCAGATCGCACCACTGCACTCCATCCTGGGTGACAGAACGAGACTCTGTCTCAAAAATAAAAAGAGTGACTGGAATAGGATGTGTGAATGCCAGTAAATACACTTGATAATCCTCATTCTGTGAGTTCTCCAACTGCGGTCTGGCATTTGCTTTCGCTATCATTTTTATCCTTTAGCTCAGCTAACACCAGGTATGACCTAGAAAAGGGGCAGGCCTGCTGAGAGAATTTGAGACTTACTTTGTTTCCAAGGCAAAAAGGAAATTGTGAGGGAGATGAGAGACTCATTCCTATGTTGGTTGGTTGAGCACTGAAAATTGTCTCCCTTTTGCATTCTGGCTTATAGTAGCAGAGTCCTCAGATGTATAACACTGCAGTAAAATCTCACTAATCTAAATGACTGGGAAAGCCATCAGGAATTTCTTTTTTTTTTTGAGACAGAGTTTCGCTGCTGTTACCCAGGCTGGAGTGCAATGGCGCGATCTCGGCTCACCACAACTTCTGCCTTCTGGGTTCAGGCAATTCTCCTGCCTCAGCCTCCCGAGTAGCTGGGACTACAGGCACGCACCACCATGCCCAGCTCATTTTTGTATTTTTAGTAGAGACAGGGTTTCACCTCGTTGACCAGAATGGTCTCAATCTCTTGACCTTGTGATCCACCCGCCTCAGCCTCCCAAAGTGCTGGGATTATAGGTGTGAGCCACTGCGCCTGGCCAGGAATTTCTAAAGATAAAATATGAGCCATTTGTTCATGTTTCTCACCTTCAAGTACATAGATTGTCACCTAAGTGAATAGTATCTTTAAAGGCTCTATTTTTTTTTAATTATTATAATTTAATTTTTTTATTATACTTTAAGTTCTGGGGTACATGTGCAGAAAGTTTGTTACATAGCTATACACGTGCCATGGTGGTTTGCTGCATCCTGTCATCTGTGTTAGGTATTTGTCCTAATGCTATCTCTCCCCAGCCCCCTACCCACAAGAGGCTCTACTTCAATGGTAGCTATTTCACCGATCTTCCTTTCATTATAAAATTAGCAGCCAGTGTCCAGGCTCGGTGATGACTCATGCCTGTAATCCCAGCACTTTGGGAGGCCGAAGCGGGTGAATCATGAGGTCAGGAGTTGAAGACCAGCCTAGCCAACATGGTGAAACCTCGTCTCCACTAAAAATAGAAAAATTAGCCAGGTGTGGTACATACCTGTAATCCCAGCTACTCGGGATGCTGAGGCATGAGAATTACTTGAACCTGGGAGGCAGAGGTTGCAGCGAGCTGAGATCACTCCACCCTGGGCAACAGGGTGAGACTCTGTCTCAAAAATAAGTAAAATAAAAATTAGCAGCCAGTCCAGCCCTGTGCAGAGATTTTTTTTTGTAATTCCAAATGTTATTAATTAATGAGAGTTACTGTTGCATAGAATGGTCATGATATATTTGGATCTTGGTTTTTGTTTGTTTTTGAGACAAGAGTCTCGTACTATTGCCTGGGCTGGAGTGCAGTGATTGTGTTTTTAGTAGAGATGGGGTTTCAATATGTTGGCCAGGCTATTCTCAAACACCTGACCTTGTGATCCACCCACCTTGACCTCCCAAAGTGCTGAGATTAAAGGCGTGAGCCACCTCACCCAGCCTTTTTCTTTTTTTTTTTGAGATGGAGTCTTGCTCTGTAGCCCAGGCTGGAGTGCAGAGGCACAATCTCAGCTCACTGCAACCTCTGCCTCCCAGGTTCAAGCAATTCTCCTGCCTGGGTCTCCCGAGTAACTAGGGCTACAGGTGCGTGCCACCACACCCAGCTAATTTTTGTATTTTTAGTAGAGATGGAGTTTCACCTTATTGGCCAGGAGGGTCTGGATCTCCTGACCCTGTGATCCACCCGCCTCAGCCTCCCAAAGTACTGGGATCACAGGCGTTAGCCTTGGAGAGATTTAAAAATGGGAGCATGTGGACTGGGCAAGGTGGCTCACACTTGTAATCCCAGGACTCTGGGGGGCTGAGGAGGGCAGGACCAACATGGTGAAATCCTGTCTCTACTAGAAATGCAAATATTAGCCAGCCCTGGTAGTGGGCACCTGTAATCCCAGCGACTTGGGAGGCTGAGGCGGGAGAATCGCTTGAACCTGGGAGGCGGAGGTTGTGGTGAGCTGAGATCAAGCCTTTGCACTCCAGCCTGGGCAACAGAGCGAGACTCCATCTCAAAAAATAAAAATGGGAGCATGTGGGCCGGGCGCGGTGGCTCAAGCCTGTAATCCCAGCACTTTGGGAGGCCGAGGCGGGTGGATCACGAGGTCAAGAGATCGAGACCATCCTGGTCAACATGGTGAAACCCCGTCTCTACTAAAAATACAAAAAATTAGCTGGGCACGGTGGTGCATGCCTGTAATCCCAGCTACTAAGGAGGCTGAGGCAGGAGAATTGCCTGAACCCAGGAGGCGGAGGTTGTGGTGAGCCGAGATTGCGCCATTGCACTCCAGCCTGGGTAACAAGAGTGAATCTCTGCCTCAAAAAAAAAAAATGGGAGCATGTGGCTGTGCGTGGTGACTCACAGCCCAGCACTTTGGGAGACCAAGGTGGGTGGATCACCTGAGGTCAAGAGTTGGAGAGCAGCCTGACCCCGCAAACATGGAGAAACACTGTCTCTACTAAAAATACAAAAATTATCTGGGCATGGTGGCACATGCCTGTAATCCCAGCTACTTGGGAGGCTGCGGCAGGAGAATTGGTTGAACCTGGGAGGCAATTGCTTGAACCTGGGAGGCAGAGGTTGTAGTGAGCTGAGATCGGGCCATTGTACTCCAGCCTGGGCAACAAGAGTGAAATTCCATCTCAAAAAAAAAAAAAAAAAAATGCCAGGCACAATGGCTTACACTTGTAATGCTAGCACTCTGGCCAACATGGTGAAACCTCGTCTCTACTAAAAATACAAAAATTAGCTAGGTGTGGTGGTGCATGCCTGTAGTCCCAGCTACATGGGAGTCTGAGGCAGGAGAATCGCTTGAATCTGGGAGGCAGAGGTTGCAATGAGCCGAGATTGTGCCACTGCACTCCAGCCTGGGCAACAGAGTGAGACTCTGTCTCAAAAAAAAAAAAAAAAATGGTGGGAGCATATTAACAATTCTCTCCTGCCACAAGGTACAATTATGGTCTTAACTGACTCTGTTTCTAATTGCTTCTCTATCATCTTCCAAGATGCCAACGTCCGGCGGTACCTCCAGCTAACACAGTCAGAACTCAGCAGCTACCATAGAAAAGAGAAGCAACTCTACCTGGGCATGTTTGGTTAACAAGGAAGAAAGATGCTCCTCCACTTGAACTTAGGTGGGCCATTAAACATGCATCAAGGAGAAACCTGAGCCTCAGCAAGAGAAATTGACCCTATACCTCCGACGCATGTGGATTTCTGTTTCTAGTTCTGCACAAACTTTACTACTTAGACAGTCTGAGTCCTTTTCTGTCTATCCGTCTGTATATTTCTGTAGCTTTCAATACATGTTATTGTTGGGGCTGTTTGCCTTGAGAAATACAATCAGAAAACATCAGCTGTGGGTGGAATTCATCATATTTCTGGCATAGATTTTTCATGATAATGTTGTTAGATATATTTATATACAGAGGCAAGGACTTGCAGAGGATGACATAGTGAGGACAGGCAGAAAGAAGTGTCTTTATTTTTTTCAGAAGCCCAAACCAAAGTGGGAAATATGGTTGGTCTCGGTGGCTTATGCCTGTAATCCCATCACACTGAGAGGCCGAGGTGGGCAGATAGCTTGACTTTAGGAGTTCGAGACCAGCCCGGGTAACGCAGTGAAACCCTGTCTCTACAAAAGATACAAAGATTATCAGGGCCTGGTGATATGCACCTGTAGTCCCAGCTATTCTGGAGGCTGAGGTGGGAGGATTGCATAATGGTCAGGTTGGTCTTGAATTTCTGGTGTCAAGTGATCTGCTCACCTCGGGCTCCCAAAGTGCTGGGATTACAGGTATGATCCACTTTGCTGGCCGAAGATAACCATTTTGCTTAAATTATTTTTTTCTTTTTCTCTTTTTTTTTTTTAAATTTTAAGTTCCAGGGTACATGTGCAGGCTATGAAGGTTTTGTTACATAGGGAAACGTGTGCCATGGTGGTTTGCTGCATCTATCAACCCATCACCTAGGTATTAAATCCAGCATGCATTAGCTATTTTTCCTCATGTTCTCCCTTCCCCACCACCCCTCCTTAAATTAATTTCTTATCCTCCTTAATATTCCACATACATTGAGATCTCTTCTCCCCTAACAAAATATTTGCTTTCAGGCCGGGAGTGGTAGCTCATGCTTGTAATCCCAGCACTTTGGGAGGCCGAGATGGGTCACCTGATGTCGGGAGTTCGAGACCAGCCTGACCAACATGATGAAACCCTGTCTCAAAAAAAAAAAAAAATTGGCCAGGCGCGGTGGCTCACACCTATAATACCAGCACTTTGGGAGGCTGAGGCGGGTGGATCACAAAGTTAAAAGATCAAGACCATCCTGGTCAACATGGTGAAATCCTGTCTCTACTAAAAATACAAAAATTAGCTGGGCATGGTGGTTCACACCTGTAGTTCCAGCTACTCGGGAGGCTGAGGCAGGAGAATTGCTTGAACCCAGGAGGTGGAGGTTGCAGTGAGCCCAGAGTGTGCCATTGTACTCCAGCCTGGGTGACAGAGTGAGACTGTCTCAAAAAAATTAATAAAAGATAAATAAATGTAGGCTGGGCGCGGTGGCTCATGCCTATAATCCTAGCACTTTGGGAGGCCGAGGCGGGAGGATCGCCTGAGGTCAGGAGTTCCTGACCAGCCTGACCAACATAGTGAAACCCCCTCTCAAAAAAATAATAATAATAAACATTTTAAAAAATAAATAAATAGATATATAGATAGATAGATAAATGTATTGATTACATGCAGTGACTCATACCTGTAATCCCAGCACTTTGGGAGGCCAATGCAGGAAGATTGCTTGAGCCCAGGCGTTCCAGACCAGCCTGAGCAATATAGAAAGACCTCCATCTCTACTTAACAAAAAAAGGGCTGGGCGCAGTGGCTCACACCTATAATTCCAGCACTTTGAGAGGCCAAGGTGGGTGGATCACCTGAGGTCAGGAGTTTGATACCAGCCTGGCCAACATGGCAAAAATATGTCTCTACTAAAAATACAAAAAAAGTAGCCAGGTGTGGTAGCAGGTGCTTGTAATCCCAGCTACTCAGGAGGCTGAGGCAGGAGAATCGCTTGAACCTAGGAGGTGGAGGTTATAGTGAGCCAAGATGGTGCCACCGCACTCCAGCCTGGAAACAGAGTGAGACTGTCTCAAAAAAAAAGAAAAAGAAAAACACAAAGTAGAATAAAAGCACTGATGGGGCTGGGTGTGGTGGCGCGTGCCTGTAGTCCCAGCTACTCGGGAGGCTGAGGTGGGAGGATCGCTTGAGCCCAGGAGTTCTGGGCTGTAGTGCGCTCTGCCGATTGGCTGTCCACACTAAGTTCAGCATCGATATGGTGACCTCCCGGAAGCAGGGGACCACCAGGTTGCCTAAGGAGGGGTGAACCGGCCCAGGTCGGAAACGGAGCAGGTCAAAACTCCCATGCTGATCAGTAGTGGGATCACGCCTGTGAATAGCCACTGCACTCCAGCCTGGGCAACATAGCAAGACCCCGTTTCTTAAAAAAATAAAATTTTAAAAAAGCACTGATGGGGCTGGGTGTGGTGGGTCATGCCTGTAATCCCAGCACGTTGGGAAGCCATGATGGGCAGATCACTTGAGGTCAGGAGTTCCAGACCAGCCTAGCCAACATGTTGAAACCCCTGTCTCTACTGAAAAGACAAAAATTACCCGGACATGGTGGTGGGCACCTGTAGTCCCAGCTACTGGGGAGGCTGAGAATTATTTGAACCCAGGAGATGGAGGTTGCGGTGAGTCAAGATTCCATCAGTACACTCCAGCCTGGTCTGAAAAAAAAAAGAGGCTAGGCCAGGTATGGTGGCTTATGCCTGTAATCTCAGCACTTTGGGAGGCTGAGCAGTGTGGATCACTTGAGCCACCCAGGATTTTTTTGTTGTTGGTTTTTTTTTTTTTTTTGAGACGGAGTTTCTCTCTTGTTACCCAGGCTGGAGTGCAATGGCGCGATCTCGGCTCACCGCAACCTCCGCCTCCTGGGTTCAGGCAATTCTCCTGCCTCAGCCTCCTGAGTAGCTGGGACTACAGGCACGTGCCACTGTGCCCAGCTAATTTTTTGGATTTTTAGTAGAGATGGGGTTTCACCATGTTAACCAGGATGGTCTTGATCTCTTGACCTCATGATCCACCCGCCTCGGCCTCCCAAAGTGCTGGGATTACAGGTGTGAGCCACCACGCCCAGCTCGGTTTTTTTTTTTTTTTCCCTGTTTTTTTTTTTTGTTGTTGCTGTTTTTTGAGGAGTTTCACTCTTGTTACTTAAGCTGGAGTGCAATGGCACAATCTTGGCTCACCGAAATCTCCGCCTCCCAGGTTCAAGCAATTCTCCTGCCTCAGCCTCCCAAGTAGCTGACATTACAGGCATGTACCACCATACCCGGCTAATTTTGTATTTTTAGTAGAGATGGTGTTTCTCCATGTTGGTCAGGCTGGTCTTGAACTCCTGACCTCAGATGATCTGCCCACCTCGGCCTCCCAAGGTGCTGGGATTACAGGTGTCAGCCAGTGCACCCGGCAGGGTTTCTTTTTAAATTTGAGACGGAGTCTTGCTTTTTCGCCCAGGCTGGAGTGCAGTGGCTTGATCTTGGCTCACTGCAACCTGCACCTCCCAGGTTCAAGTGATTCTCCTGCCTCAGCCACCAGAGTAGCTGGAACTACAGGCACGTGCCACTATGCCCAGCTAACTACTTTTTGTATTTTTTTAAGTACAGACAATGATTCACCGTCTTTTTTTTTTTTTTTTTGAGACTGAGTTTCACTCTTGTTCCCCAGGCTGGAGTGCAATGGCGCGATCTCGGCTCACTGCAACCTCCGCCTCCTGGGTTCAGGCAATTCTCCTGCCTCAGCCTTCCGAGTAGCTGGGACTACAGGCGCGCACCACCATGCCCAGCTAATTTTTGTATTTTTTTTTGGTAGAGACAGGGTTTCACCATGTTGACCAGGATGGTCTAGATCTCTTGACCTCGTGATCCACCCGCCTCGGCTTCTCAAAGTGCTGGGATTATAGGCGTGAGCCACCGCGCCCAGTCGATTCACCGTCTTAACCAGGATGGTTTCCAACTCCTGACCTTATGATTCACCTGCCTTGGTCTCCGAAAGTGCTGGGGTTATAGGCATGAGTCATTGCAACCAGCCCTGAACCCAGAATTTCAAGACCAGCCTGGGCAACATAGTGAGACCCCTTTTCTATAAAAATTAAAAAAAAAAAATAGTCTGGTGTGCTCCTATAGTCTCAGCTCCTCAGGAAGCTGAGTGGGAGGATAGCTTGAGCCCAGGAGTTTGAGGCTGCAGTGGAGTTTGAGGCTGCAGTGAGTTTGACTGCACCACTGCAGTAACCCAGGTTACAGGGCAAGATTGTGTCTATAAAAAAAAAAAAAAAAATTAGAAAGCTAGAGAGGAAAGGGTGGTCTGAAAACTAAGTCAGTTTATAGCTCACAAGCGAATATTCTCGGGATGAAACTTAATAGGCTGGGGCCTGGTCCATACCCCTATGAAAGGAGACAGATTTTGGCTCAGCCTAAGGAAATCCAGATGGCCAACAATGGGTTTCCTTTGAGAAAGAGGTAGTTTTTTTTTGTTTTTGTTTTTGTTTGAGACAGAGTCTCACACTGTCGCCCTGTCTGCATAGTGCAGTGTTGAGATCTCGGCTCACTGCAGTCTCAGCAATTCTCTACCTCCTGGGTTCAAGCAATTCTCCTGCCTCAGCCTCCCAAGTAGCTGGGACTACAGGCGTGTGCCACCACGCCCAGCTAAGTTTTTTTTGTATTTTTAATAGAGATGGGGTTTCACCATGTTGGCCAGGTTGGTCTCCATCTCCTGACCTTGTGATCCGCCCACCTCGGCCTCCCAAAGTGCTAGAATTACAGGCGTGAGCCACTGTGCCCAGCCTCTTTTTGTCTGAGATGGAGTCTTGCTCTGTTGCCCGGGCTGGAGTGCAGTGACGAAATCTTGGCTTGCTACAATCTCAGCCTCCCGTGTTCAAGCAATTCTCCTGCCTCGGCTTCCAAGCATGTAGCTGGGACCACAAGTGTGTGCATACCACCATGCCTGGCTAATTTTTGTATTTTTAGTAGAGACCGAGTTTCACCATCTTGGCCACTCCTGACCTCAAATAATCCACCCCACTTGGCCTCCCAGAGTGCTAGGATTACAGGCATGAACTACTGTGCCTGGCCTCATGCAGAAGTTTGATAACTGGCAAAAGGAGGATTCAGTGTTAGACTAGAAATTAGATGAGCTGACACCCAGGAGCCTATGGTTCCCCTAATCCATGAATGCGACCATTAAAACCAGTGGAAATGGCCGGGCACGGTAGCTCAAGCCTGTAATCCCAGCACTTTGGGAGGCCGAGGTGGGTGGATCATGAGGTCAAGAGATCGAGACCATCCTGGTCAACATGGTGAAACTCCGTCTCTACTAAAAATACAAAAAATTAGCTGGGCATGGTGGCACGTGCCTGTAATCCCAGCTACTCAGGAGGCTGAGGCAGGAGAATTGCCTGAACCCAGGAGGCGGAGATCGCGCCATTACACTCCAGCGTGGGTAACAAGAGCGAAACTCTGTGTCAAAAAAAAAAAAAAAAAAAACAGTGGAAATGAGAAAGAATTTATTGATCATATCTCTACAAATTGGCATAAACTGTTCCTAGCATTCAGCAGATAAACTAAGGCCACAGATCAGGCACTGTGGTTCACGCCTGTAATTTCAACACTTTGGGAGGCCGAGCCGGGCAGATCACTTGGGGTTAGGAGTTCAAGACCAGCCTGGCCAACATGGTGAACCCCTGTCTGTACAAAAATACAAAAATTAGCCGGGTGTGGTAGCTCACGCCTGTAATCCCAGCTGTTTGGGAGGCCGAGGAAGGAGAATTGCTGAACCTGGGAGGCAGAGGTTGCAGTTAGCTGAGATCACACCACTGCACTGCAGCCTGAGCAATAGAGGGAGACTCTGTCTACAAAAAAAAAAAAAAAAAAAGAGGCTATAGTGGCCATAATTGTGATAGCTACTGCTTTACAGATTTTGCAGGCTGGGCCTGATGGCTCATGCCTGAAACCTCAGCACTTTGGGAGGCCAAGGCAGGTGGATCACTGGAGCCCAGGAGTTTGAGACCAGCCTGGGCAACAGGGCGAAACATCATCTCCACAAAAAATACAAAATTAGCCATATGTGGTAGTACATGCGTGTAGTTCCAGCTACTTGGGATTGAGAGAGGTTGAGGCTGCAGTGAGTCATGACAGTGCCACTGCACTCCAGCCTCAGCGACAGGGAGACCTTCTCTCACCAAAAAAAAAAAAAAAATCTTGCAAATACCCGACTGCCACCTGCAAAAAAGAATGCCCTTTATGCTGGATATTGAAAGCAAATGCTTGCTCCTCAGGAGAATCTCACCAGCAACGGAGCCTTTTTTTTTTTTTGAGACGGAGTTTCGCTCTTGTTACCCAGGCTGGAGTGCAATGGCGCGATCTCGGCTCACCACAACCTCCGCCTCCTGGGTTCAGGCAATTCTCCTGCCTCAGCCTCCCGAGTAGCTGGGATTACAGGCACGCGCCACCATGCCCAGCTAATTTTTTGTATTTTTAGTAGAGACGGGGTTTCACCATGCTGACCAGGATGGTCTCGATCTCTTGACCTCGTGATCCACCCACCTCGGCCTCCCAAAGTGCTGGGATTACAGGCTTGAGCCACATCGCCTGGCGAGCCTCTTTAGTTAAGTAGTGCATGTGACCACAATTTGATCAATACAGTGGTTCCTGTCTTCCCCAGAATGTCTGGAGAGATTATCTACATCATAAAATGTCTATATATATAGACCATTTATTATGCCTCCAGTTTAGAAACTGATGTTTGGAAACAACTAGTTTTTGTTTTTTTTGCTTTGTGTTTGTTGAAATCCAGATATAGAGACTGTAAAACCCACCCTTTTAAGGGCAACTGATTCGTAAAGGCATTTTGATTTGATATTTACTCTAGGGAAGACTTTTTTTTTTTTTTTGAGACGGAGTTTTGCTCTTGTTACCCAGGCTGGAGTGCAATGGGCGATCTCAGCTCACCGCAAACTCTGCCTCCTGGGTTCAAGCAATTCTCCTGCCTCAGCCTCCTGAGTAGCTAGGACTTCAGGCACGGGCCACCGTGCCCAACTAATTTTTGTATTTTTAGTAGAGACGGGGTTTCACCATGTTGACCAGGATGGTCTCGATCTCTTGACCTCGTGATCCACCCGCCTCGGCCTCCCAAAGTGCTGGGATTATAGGTGTGAGCCACTGCGCCCTGTCGACTTTTTTTTTTTTTTGTACAGAGTTTTGCTTTTGTTGCCCAGGCTAGAGTGCCATGGTGCCACCTCAGCTCACCACAACCTCCAACTCCCTGTTTCAAGTGATTCTCCTGCCTCAGCCTCCTGAGTAGCTGGGATTACAGGCACCCAGCACCACGCCCAGCTAATTTTGTATTTTTAGTAGAGATGGGGTTTCTCTATGTTGGTCAAGCTGCTCTTGAACTCCCAGCCTCAAGTGGAGTTCAACCTCCACCCACCTTGGCCTCCCAAAGTGCTGGGATTACAGGCATGCGCCACTGCGCCCTGAGTAGGGAAAACTTTTGAATCCACCCAGCTAGAATAGCTTTTATTGTATTTATTTATATCTTGACTTGTTTCAAGGAATTAAGGCAATAATGTATTTGCATAAATAAAATTAGAAGCCATTTGAAAGATAAATTAGAAGGTTATTTCAACACAAAGAATGTGAAAGAATGTAGAATTTGCTCAGCAGAAAAATGTTCACCATCTTTGGCTTCCCACATGTCCTAGTTAAGGAGCTTTCTTTAGCCACGTGGCGGCTCACCTTTTCCTGTAACTCAAAAATAGTCACTTGCTGGTAAGGGTTCACAGTGCTGAATATGACACAGACTCCACAAGAGAGAATGAAAATTCAGACTATTTACTTGTTATTTTCTCCCTTTTCTGGTTTCCTTCCTGCTTTATTTGCAGTCACGTCCTTATGTAACAAGGAAAGGTTTGTAGGGAACCTTGAGGCGCTCCTCTAGCACAGGCGGGGCCCGCCACCACACATTCCTAGAGTTCTTTTTTTGCCCCAGCCCGTGGTGACACCCCAAACTCCCATTTCTTTGCTGTCTCCACTGTCAGTAACCACCTGGGTGACCTTAGGTGAGCAATCAGCCTTACTAGACTGTTGGCATCACTTTTCAAGAGGGAGCTGGACTAGGTGAACTGTAAGATCCTCTCATCCGGAGTTTCTTGCTTCAGGTTTTGCAAGCACCAGTCATTGCCATACCACCTCAGACCCTCAGCCTCCCGCCACTGATCAGCCACCACGGGCCTTAGTGTGTTCTGCCTTTCAGTTTCAGAGAACTCAATTCATATCTACAACTTGTAGCCAAAATCTTCAAATAATCAATACAGTATCTGCAACAAAAGGTCTTTCAATGGGGAAAGCAGAGGTAACAAGGGAACAAAGCCAAATACACAAAAGGACGGAAAAAAAAAAAGAAAACAACTTATACTTCTTGGTTAACTACCTTCAACTTTTTATTATTATTATTTTATAGAGACAGAGGTCTCACTATGTTGCCCAGGCTAGTCTGTAACTCCTAGCCACGAGGGATCCTCTCACCTCAGAACCCCACAGTGCTGGGAGAACAGGCATAAGCCACTTAACAGCCCTTCAAACATTGTTTTTTTGAGACGGAGTCTCACTCGTTACCCAGGCTGGAGTGCAATGGTGTGATCTCAGCTTACTGCCACCTCTGCCTCCTGGGTTCAAGCAATTCTTCTGCCTCAGCCTCCCGAGTAGCTGGGATTACAGGCGCCCACCACCACGCCCAGCTAATTTTTTTGTGTTTTTAGTAGAGATGAGGTTTCACCATGTTGGCCAGGTTGGTCTCAAACTCCTGACCTCAGGTGATCTGCCCACCTCGGCCTCCCAAAGTGTTGGGATCACAGGTGTGAGCCACGGTGCCGGGCCCAAACAATGTTTTTAAGCAGCATAGCAGGCACGGTGTTTGCAGTCACAACCCAGGTTCAAATGCTGGCTTGCCCGTTAACTAGCCTCTGTGAGCTTGAGCAAGTTAAACTTTGATTTGTGAGTCTCAAGTTTATGAACAACAACAACAACAAACAAAACAGGAGGCAGACCTAATACACCCTAACGTTATGAGGATTAAATGAGTATTTATATGAAATGTCTGATAAATCCCAGAAGACAAGCGCTCAACTGCAATAATAAATCATAATTTTGTAAGCTTCCCTATTTGTATACTTTTCCTAAGTAAAGGCTACATCACCATCACCCTCTGCCTGTCCTCATAAGCAATCTGACCCCTACCCCTACCCCAAGTACATATGTGAGATTCCAAAAGAACTGAAGGAGAGAAATGAAGGCATGCAGGTTTTTAGAAGAAACCAGCCAACACCAGTTCAAAGAGATACTTTCACTGCTAGCTTTATGTTCCAGAACATAGAGTGAAAAGTGATGATACCTCAGGAAAATTCCCAGTGCCCTTAGAAAGAGCTGACATATGCTCTGCCCTGTAAAGTCCTGCTTATCTGGCTGGGCAAAGAAAAGCGTAGGAGGCTGGGTGCGGTGGCTCATGCCTATAATCCCAGCACTTTGGAGGGCCAAGGTGGGTGGATCACCTGAGATCAGGAGTTCAAGACCAGCCTGGCCAACCTGGGGAAACCCCATCTCTACTAAAAATACAAAAATTAGCTGGGTGTGGTGGCGCGTGCCTAAAATCTCAGCTACTCAGGAGGCTGAGGCAGGAGGATCTCTTGAACCCAGAAGGCAGAAGTTGCAAGTGAGCCAGGATTGCGCCATTGCACTCCAACCTGGGTGAGAAAGCAAGACTGTCTCAAAAAAAGAAAATAAAGAAAAGGTAGGAACTTTCAGCCTGGGCAGAACCTTTATTCTTGTCACCCAGCAGGGGTGATGAGATATGCCACCAACCTTCTGTGCAGCCATCTAAGGAGGGTAAGAGCAAGCCTAGCATCAGCTCATGCTCCCTTAGATGTTAGTTTTTGGGGCCAGGTATAAAATCTTTAGGTGGCCCCCCACCACTGCTGCTCTGTCTGTCTGCTGTTGGGGAGCCAGGGAGGGGCTGCACCCCTAGGAGGGATCCAGCTTCTGGATCTGGTTTGCTGCGTTTGGCCAGGTCCTCATTGTGAGCTTTGCGGATGTGGCGATAGAGGTCCCCTGACTGTGTGTAGCTGCGCAGGCAATAGCGGCATTCGTAGGGTCGCTCACGTGTGTGCACCGTGGCATGTCGCCGTAGTGTGTAAGAGCATGAGAAGGTCTTCCCACATGTCTTGCAAGTGGGAACATCCTCAGTAAAAACCCCAAAGCTTCCTGGAGCTGCTTCATACTCAGAAGCCAGGTAAAGTGGCTCATGCAGGGATGCAGGTGCAGGCAGGGGTGAGGTCACCAGTCCTCGATGATACTGCCCTGCACCTGGCAGCAGATGGTAGGGTAGATGAGGATCTGGAGGCAGGAAGTGGTCACTTGGCCCCACCTCCTCCAGTCCTGCTGTCCCTGGCTCTTCAAAAGCCTCTGGTTGGGAGGCCTGTCCCCCATACACTGCTCCTCCAGGTGAGAACACTCCCTCAGGACCCTGAGGCTGTTCATCTGACACATCCGTCTCTTCATCAGAGATCACGATAGCTTCAACTTTCACCTGGACCAGCTCAGCCTCAGCTGGGGCTGGAGCCTGGGATGGAACTGGAGCTGAGACAGGGGCTGGGGCTGAGGCTGGGGCTGAAGCTGGGGGATAGAATCCTTGCAGTGGTCCTCCAGGATCCCTTGATTCCACCACCCTCAGACTCTCAGGAGCCACATCAAGAGATGTCAGTGGCTCCAATGAAACTGCTGGGAGGCCAGAAGAGAAGTAGTTTGCTGGAATGGTCTCAGTAGAGCTACTAGGGCTGGCAAGAGAGACATCAGCCACCGCTTGAGGATGTGCCCGTAGATGTGGTGCGTCAACTTCCATGCCAGGCTGTGTAGTATCAGCTCCACTGGACATTGGTGGCTCATCTGGAGGACGGACAATAGGTGATGAAGCAGCAGAACCTCTCCATTCCCCTTTGCCCCAGTGGCCTGATGTCTCACCAGATGCCAACAAGGGCTGGGGGCCACGGGAAGTACTGGACAAAAACTCTAAAGTAGGAGGCTGAGAGTTAGTTTCCTCCTCCTTCTTGGTACTGTCTGCTTCTGCCAGGGCCCGGGCTTGAAGCCGCCGCTTACACACCTTGACGATGTCATTCATGTGCAAGTAGCTGGCAGCTGCGAGCACATCCTCCACAGGGGTATCCCCTCTCAGGGCCAGCTGGCCAGCATACATAAAGTCCAGAAGCAGCCCAAAGGCTGGGGCTGTGACAATTTCATTGTGAATACACACCAGATCCCTCTTGTCCAATTCTCGCTCCTTGTAGAAAAGCTGGAAGAATGGGCTGCAGGAAGCCAGCACAGCCCGATGGGCCAAGAACTGGGTACTACCCACCATCACGGTGCAGTCACAAAGGAAACCCTGGGACCGCTGTTCCCGGAGGCTCTGCAGCAGCTGCTGACTGTGTTCTGGGAACTCCATAGTACCCCACGAAGGAGAGGGGGCCCAAAAAAGGTCCCCACCAGTGGCTCCCTGGGAAAAAAGGAAAGTGGGTTAAGGCAGGTAACCTCCCCAGCAACCGTAACATCAGCCCTTAAGTATCACTTGCATCCCCAAGGCAATCGCTTAAGTTACTGCCCTTCTTTTTCCTAGGTCACACCCAAAGCTCTCCCATTAGCTCCGCCCCCCCGCCTAACCTTAGAACAGGCCCCGCCCCGCCCGATTAGCCCTGCCCCCGGAAGTCCCGCCCCTTGGCCACCCTCCGCTTCCTTGATGCCCACCCGGTAGCTTCCAACGTCTCCACGAAGTAGGGATCTTTTCTGCTCCCAGGCCTTCCCAGGCGATGCCTCTACGCCCCACTTCGGGAACTCCCTAAGCATCTCCCTCACGCATTCCAGTGGCTAAGGACTCCCAGAGTGAGAACTAGCAGAGAAAGCTGATCCCTCACCCACCACCGAGCAGCCACCAAGAGAGCTCCGCCCCTTCCCACCTTCTCATTTTTAATTGGCTTAAGATCGCCCTCCCCTGTCACGGATTGGTCCGCTGTCCACTAACCATTCTACCCCCAACCGCGGTCTCCAATTGGGTGCTCGCCGCCATCGCTTTTACAGTCAGGCGCCGCATTGGGTGGCGCTCCTGTCCTCAACTTTTCCTCCTCGTCCCGCCTTCCTTGCCTCCGAACCCTCAGCATTGGCTGAGCTTCTCTTTCTACCGAATCCCGTAGGCAGGAGGTACGCGGCTACAAGTGGCTGAACGCTGCGCCCTCCCGGCAAGGCCGGAGATCCGGAACCGTGCCCTGTCCGACCTGAGCTGACAGCTGCTGCAGGTTGACCGGGTAAAAGAGAACCAACTAGGCCCGGCGCAGTGCCTCACGCCTGTAATCCCAGGACTTTGGGAGGCGGAGACGGACGGATTACTTGGGGTCAGGACTTCAAGACCAGCCTGGCCAACATGGTGAAACCTCGTCTCTACTAAAAATGCAAAAATTAGCTGGGCGTGGTGGCGCGCGCCTGTAATCCCAACTATTGGCGAGGTTGAGGCAGGAGAATCGCTTGAACCCGGGAGGCAGAAGTGGCAGTGGGTCACAGTCGTGCCACTGCACTGCAGCCTGGGCGACGGAGCAAGACCCTGTCCCCTCTATGACCACACCCCCATCAAAAAAAAGAACCAACTGGTGACTGTGGCCTTTAGCCACAAGTCCCTGAAGTACATTTGTCTCTTGAAGGTCCCTTCCTCTCAAAAATTCCAAGATTGGCCGGGTGCGGTGCCTCACGCCATTAATCCCAGCACTTTGGGAGGCGGAGGCAGGCAGATCACTTGAGGTCAGGAGTTCAAGGCCAGCCTGGGCAACATAGTGAAACGCCTATCTCTAGTAAAAATACAAAAAATCGGCTGCGCATGGTGGCGCGTGCCTGTAATACCAGCTACTCGGGAGGCTGAGGCAAGAGTTCAAAACTCTTGAACCCAGGAGTCACATGTTGGAGTGAGCTGAGATCACGCCACTGCACTGTAGCCTCGGAGACAGAGACACTAGGTCTCACACACACACACACACACAATCCAAGATGCCCTACTGCTCCCCTCCTCCAAGCTAAGATTCCGGGGCTCCTGGTCAGTGATGGTATCAGAGAACTAGCAGCTACCGGGATGGTATCGTGGTGTCCCTAACCTGGACTCTACAGTCAATTTACAGTTGAGAGGATGGACTTTGAGCGTGCTGGGCAAGCACCGGTAGGAAGTGTAGGAATGGGGTCAGGGTCATAAAGTGTCCCAGGATAGGAGAGGAGAAACAAGAATTGTGTCTACCTCTAAAGAAATCTTTTTTTTTTTTTCCTCGAGACGGAGTTTCGCTCTTGCTACCCAGGCTGGAGTGCAATGGCGCGACCTCGGCTCACTGCAACCTCCACCTCCTGGGTTCAGGCAATTCTCCTGCCTCAGCCTCCTGAGTAGCTGGGACTACAGGCACGTGCCACCATGCCCAGCTGATTTTTTGTATTTTTAGTAGAGACGGGGTTTCACAATTTTGACCAGGATGGTCTCGATCTTCTGACCTCATGATCCACCCGCCTCGGCCTCCCAAAGTGCTGGGATTACAGGCATGAGCCACTGCGCCCGGCTAAGAAATCTTTGAGATTTCCTACATAACCAGAGGAAAAGGCTGTAAACTGGGAGTCAGTCATACCTTCCCTGTCTGACCTTCCAAACTGAAGCTGGGGGATAGTGTTACTGGAAGAGTAAACTCGGTGCCTTAATACACCCCCCTTCACCCACCACTCTAAGCATCTCTATTTTATTCTGCAGTCAGGTCCTTCAATCAAATCTAACCAGAATTAGGGAGAGTTCGTTTACAACACACTTGTGCTAGGTACATGCAGGGTATGCTGGCCTCTTCCAGACACTGTTCGTTCTTACAAGCCATACAATATTTACTGTATAGGAATTTAATAAATGGGCTGGGTGAGGCCAGGCGCTGTGGCTCAAGCCTGTAATCCCAGCACTTTGGGAGGCTGAGGGGGGTGGATCACGAGGGCAAGAGATCGAGACCATCCTGGTCAACAAGGTGAAACCCCATCTCTACTAAAAATATAAAAAATTAGCTGGGCATGGTGGTGCGCACCTGTAGTCCCAGCTACTCGGGAGGCTGAGGCAGGAGAATTGCTTGAACCCAGAAAGTGGAGGTTGCGGTGAGCCGAGATCGTGCCATTGCACTCCAGTCTGGGTAACAACAGCGAAACTCCATCTCAAAAAATAAATAAAATAAAATGGGCTGGGTGTCGTGGCCCACGCCTGTAATCCCAACACTTTGGGAGGCCAAGGTGGGCAGAGGTTGGGAGTTTGAGACCAGCCTGACCAACATGAAGAAACCCCATACTAAAAATACCAAATTAACCGGGCGTGGTGGCACATGCCTGTAATCCCAGCTATTTGGGAGGCTGAGGCAGGAGAATTGCTTGAATCCAGGAGGCAGAGGTTGTGGTGAGCCGATATCTTGTCATTGCACTCCAGACTGGGCAACAAAATGGAAACTCCATCTCAAAAAAAAAATTAGCAGGGTGTAATGACACACACCTGTAATCCCAGCTACTCAGGAGGCTGAAGAAGAATCACTTGAACCTGGGAGGTGGAGGTTGCAGTGAGCCGAGATTGTGGCATTGCACTCCTTCCTGAGCAAGGAGAGTGAAATTCTGTCTCAAAAAAAAGAAAAACAAACAAACAAAAAAATAGCTGGGAATGGTGGCACATGCCTGTAGTCCAAGCTACATGAGAGGCTGAAGCAGGAGAATCACTTGAACTCAGGAGGTGGAGGTTGCAGTGAGCTGAGATTACCCCACTGCACTCCAGCCTGGAAGACAGAACAAGACTCCATCTCAAAAAAAAAAAAAAAAAAAAAAAAAAAAAAAAGTTAAAGGAAGAAAGAGGTTTTTTGTTTTTTGTGTTTTTTTTTTTGAGATGGAGTTTTTCACTCTTGTTACCCAGGCTAGAGTACAATGGCGCAATTTCAGCTCACCGCAACCTCTGCCTCCTGGGTTCAGGCATTTCTCCTGCCTCAGTCTCCTGAGTAGCCGGGATTACAGGCATGTGCCATCATCCCAGCTAATTTTTTGTATTTTTAGTAGAGACGGGGTTTCACCATGTTGACCAGGATGATCTCGATCTCTTGACCTGGTGATCCACTAGCCTTGGCCTCCCAAAGTGCTGAGATTACAGGCGTGAGCCACCGCGCCTGGCCTGTTTTTTTGTATTTTAAAGATGGGGTTTCTCCACGATGGCCAGGCTGGTCTTGAACTCCTGACCTCCGGTGATCCACCCACCTCGGCCTCCCAAAGTGCTAGGATTACAGGCGTGAGCCACCACGCCCGGCTTTATTTATTTATTTTTTTTGAAATGGAATCTCTTGTCCCCCAGGCTGGAGTGCAATGGCATGATCTTGGCTCACTGCAACCTCTGCCTCCAAGGTTGAAGCAATTTTCCTGCATCAGCCTCCTGAGTAGCTGGGGTTACAGGCACTAGCCACCATGCCCAGCTAATTTTTTGTACTTTTTTAGTAGAGACAGGGTTTCACCATGTTGACCAGGATGGTCTTGATCTCTTGACCTCGTGATCCACCCACCTCGGCCTCCCAAAGTGCTGGGATTATAGGCTTGAGCCACCGTGCCCAGCCCCCTTTTTAATTTTTATTTAATTTTTATTTTTTTGCAGCAGAGTCTTGCTCTGTTGCCCAGGCTGGAGTATAGAGGGGTGATCTTGTCTCACCGCAACCTCTGCCTCCTAGATTCAAGCAATTCTCCTGCCTCAACCTCCCAAGTAGCTGGGGCTACAGGTGCCCACCACTGGGCCCAGCTGATTTTTTTGTATTTTCAGTAGAAACATGGTTTCACCATGTTGGCCAGGCTGGTCTTTAACTCCTGACCTCAGGTGATCCACCAGGCATCCCAAAGTGCTGGAGTTATAGGCATGAGCCACCATACCCTGCCCTTTTTACATTTTTATTTCATATATATGTAATAAAAAAAAATTTTTTTTGAGATGGAGTTTCACTCTGTTGCCCAAGTTGGAGTGCAGTGGCACGATCTCAACTCCCTGTAACCTCTACCTTGGGGTTCAAGTGATTCTCTTGCCTCAGCCTCTCCAGTAGGTGGGACTACAGGTGCTCAGCACCATGCCTGGCTAATTTTTGTATTTTTAGTAGAGACATAGTTTCACCATTTTGGCCAGGCTGGTCTCAAATTTCTGACCTCAGGTGATGTACCCACCTCAGCCTCCCAAAGTGTTGGGATTAGAGGCATGAGCCACCACACCTGGCCTCTCTCTATGTATATATATTTAAATAGAGATGGAAAAATAACTATTTATCAAAATCAAAAAATATGTAGTGAGAATAATAGCATTGTTTTACAGGGGGGTTGGGGAAGGACACGGTTTTTCTCTCTTCACACCACCACAACAATCAACACAGAATGCTTCTGTGTGACCAAATGTGTGGGTTTTTTCCCCCCATCCACAAGCAAATATTCAATTCCAGCTGGGTGTCCTGTTTAATGCCAACACTGTTTAAAGGTTTAGGGTGTAGCTCCCAAGACCACTCTCCCCACAGGCCCCCAACTTCTAGTTTCTTTTCTTCTTTTTTCTTTCTTGCTTGCTTTCTTGTTTCTCTCTCTCTCTCTCTGTCTCTCTCTATTTCCTTCTGTCTCCTTTAATTAATTTATTTATTTTTGAGACGGAATCTCTATCACCCAGGCTGGAGTGCAGTGGCACAATCTTGGCTCACTGCAACCTCTGCCACCCAGGTTCAAGCGATTCTCGTGCCTCAGCCTCCTGAGTAGCTGGGATTATAGGTGGCTGCCACTGTGCCCGGCTAATTTTTGGAGACAGATTTTCACTATCTTGGCCAGGCTTGAACTCCTGAACTCATGAACCACCCACCTCAGCCTCCCAAAGTGCTGGGATTACAGGCTTAAGCCACTGCACCTGGCCTTTCTTTTCTTATTTTTCTTTTCTTCTTTCTCTCTCTTGTCTCTCTTTCCCCCTGTCTCCCTCCCTCCCTTTCTCCCTTCCTTCCTTCCTTTTTTTTTTTTTTTTAACCAAATTATTGTTTACCAGACATGGCCCCTGACTTCTGATGCCACTCGAAAGCCCCTGGTTGTTTTACCTGTGCCTCTGACCAACTGTAAATCTAGGCCCCCACAACTCTATTTGGGCTCAATTAATTTGCTAGAGTGGCTCATACAAATCAGAGAGAAACACTTATGTTTACTGGGTGTTTTTTTTTTTTTTTTTTGCTACAGAGTCTCACTTCCTCACCAGGCTGGCGTGTGGCGGTGCAATCTTGGCTCACTGCAACCTCTATCTCCCAGGTTCAAGCGATTCTCTTGCTTCAGCCTCCAGAGTAGCTGGGACTACAGGCGCATGCCACCATGCCCAGCTAATTTTTGTATTTTTAGTAGAGATGGGATTTCACTATGTTGACCAGGATGGTCTTGATCTCTTGACCTTATGATCTGCCCACCTTGGCCTCCCAAAGTGCTAGGATTAC